TATGCGCGATGATATGCGATTTTGGTGTGAATAAGATTTGTATTGTTTTTTTTTATATAAATACTTGTTTTTTCTTTCTTTTTCAATAGTTTTCTTTATTGATTTTAAACAATACAAATCAATCTTAGACATAAAATATAGTTGTTTTTCCTTGACATGAATTCAAAACATTTTCGTTACATAGATTGAACGATTGATGAAAACAAAAATGAAATCAGTTGTAACATTAAACAAATAACCTCATCCAACCGAACACATTACTACCTTCTCCCCCACCATGCGACACATACACACACACACACACCACCGGACCATACTTCTACACATATACCACACACTGTTCCTAGCTCCCTCAGAATATCCCAAATTGGAGCGACAGACAATAGAAACAATCTATTTTTTAAAAATCCTTTAAAAGAGGCTACGATAGCCATAATAGCCCAGTGTTAACATTTCATGAAAACTTCACCTGTTCCCACTTCTGTAAATATACGGCTAATTTACCTGCCCTCCCTGCAATATTTTTTCTTATTCCCTAAATTCCTACAGTTCTTTTGGGGGTTTATATTTTAACTCCCCCAAAGACAATATTACGGACTTTCCCCTGCATATGTATCCAATATTTCATTGCAAAAATAATTGTATTAAATATCGTTATTCGTTGGAAATTACCTGACAACCCTAAATTAATATTTACCCAGTCGATATAGTTTAATTCCCTTAGCTCAAACTTAGCTATTACATTCTGCCATACCATTTGAACATGTACACACGCCCAGAACAAGTATAAATATGTTTAAATCTTTTGCTTACAAAATGAGCACAAGTTATCTTCAACAAAGCCGAATCTGAAGAAGTGTTTTCTAGTATATATTGCTTCATGAAGCAGTTTATACTGAATTTCTCTTAGTCTGTTAAACAAGAGTAACTTTCCTAGGCCTACTAAATATCTCCCTACATACCTCATTTGAAAAATCTGAAAATTCCCGTCCATAATTAATCTTCAAAGCAAATACATTTTGTAACTTCTCTATAAAATATTCATAAACCTTCCTCGATAATACATCTTTGAGGGGCTTCACATTACTACTAAAATGCATTAAAATATCATACTCTTTTACATCCACTAAACTCCAGTTATCCCTTTTTCCGCTTCTCCAAATAGCTTCCCCAATATTCCATACATCAACAATTTTGTTTCATTTTAACCCCAAATGTTGAAAATGAGAAATTGACCGCATGCCATTTTCAGCAAAAATATCTTGAATTGAAATTATATTGCGTGTAAACAACTCCTCATCAAAAATCTTTTTCTTTTTCAATAAGGAGTTTGTATTGTTAAAATAATTGGATTATTCTTTTCTTCAAAATTCCTACAACCTTCTAACTCTTCCCATGCTTTGATCATTTCTAAAAAGAACTTAGGTACTTTGAAACTGAATAACTTGGAATCACAGTTACACAAAACAATAAATCTACCCCTACCATACACACACACACACACACACGAAATAAATGAGCTGTATAACATTTATATATTATCTGGTAGAAAGAGAGGCAGAAAAAGAGAGAGATAGAGAGAGAGAGAGAGAGAGATATCAGGAACCAATAGGAGAAGATGAACATAATCGAAGAGGGAGTGGGAAAGGGAAACACCTAGTGGAAAAGAGGTAAAATACGGAATACGACACAGTGACCACGGTTGTGTAAAATTAAAAAGAAAAGAAACAAAGGGGTGATAAACGATGCAATAATAAATGGAAATGGAAATGCATTATATAAGTTTGACTCCATAGATGGCGCAATTTAACTGAGTGTATCGTCATCATTGCATCTTCTTAATTAACTTCAGATTAAACCTTTTCAAGCCTTTTCAAACTTAAATTATTATTTTCTTAATGGTTTCACGAGACCAATAGATGACCTTCTTTTCTATACACCATAATTTATCTGCGGTTGTAAAAACAATGTGGTTCAGTTTAAGAGACCTAAAACCTGTGGATGGCCTAATCAGTAACACCATTTTATATTGGTGTATTTTTCTGACTAATTAAAATGTATCGAAGAATTGATACATAATGCACAACTTAAGTGTTCGATTCATGTTAGTTCCCCAAAAATAATGATTTGTACCAATTGACAATTTATCACATATTCAATCACAAAATACATAGCGAGAAAAAAAAGGAATTGTTTAACCCTGTAACATAAAAAGTTACAAGTACACGTTTCTCCCCAAAATTTACGGTATCTCCTTCAATCGATGCTTGCTTATACCTCATGAGTGGTAACTTATGCATATTTTCTGTGACAGATAGATATGATCATGATGAAATATAATTGCTGCCGCATGATGGGCTAGATATAACATAACTTTACGATTGCCTAGATGTCAACTTTGAAGTTACATGCCCCTATTGGCATACTACAATCTGCCGTTAGATTTTACTTTGTGTGCATTAAGAAAATAATATATGCCATTTGAGAAACTCACTCATTTAACAGCCAATCACTGGCGTACCTATGGGGGGGGCAGGGGGCAGAGTGCCCCCCCCCCCCTGACGGGCTCCAGGGGAAAAAAGAAAAAGGGGAAAGAAAAGAAAAGAAAGGAAAGGAAAGAAAAAAAAAGGAAAAGGGAAGAAAAAAGGAAAGAAAGGGGAAAAAAGGAAAAAAAGGAAAGAAAAAAGGAAGAAGAAGAGAAAAGGAAGAAAAAGGGAAAAGAAAAGGAAAGGAATAAAAATGGGGAAATTTATTTTTTTTTAAAAGACCATGGCCGTACGCACCAAGGGGGGGGGGGGGCAGTTGACCCCAGATATTTTGAAAACGTACAGTTTTTTTCCTGAAAATGTAGTGTACGCCTTTAATTACCAAATCCTTCAATTCTACTTTTGAAAATGCAAAAGTACCCTCATGACCAGTTCGGTCGCTCGAACTCCCTTCACTCATTTTGCTTTTGAGATTCTTCAAAAACTTTTAACGCATCTTTCCCCCTCCCCCACCTGAAAAATATTCCGCATACGGCCCTGAAAAATTAAAACATATGAAAATAGAAAAATATAAGTAATATAACAAATTCGAAACTCTTCGCTGGCGCGAACTGCTTGCTAGCCTATTTTGTATTAAATGTTTTCACTTGCTCGTCCCCCTGAAAAAAGAAAAGGATTAGTATTGCCTAGAATAAAATTGTGCCTGCCCCGACGGGCCCCAACCTGCAACCATGGCAACAATAACACACAATATATGTACCAAATGTTACTAAAAGAGACTAATTCATTTTTCTCGCTCGCTACACTCGCTCGCGAATAAAATGAATAGACATTGCTTTAGAAACAATTGTGCCCACCCTTGACCTGCAACAATATCATTAAAAGTGGGAGATTTTTTTCGCCCTCACGCCAAAAAGGAATTGAATCGCGTTGAACGCGATTGCGTCCATCCTGACCTGCACCAATAAAAACAAGTTTATTTATTAATTTTTATTAAAAGAGAATTTATTTTTTTTGCTTGCTCGCTATGCTCGCTCGCCAAAATGGAATTGACACCGCTAACGTTCCCGCCCCAACCTGCAACAACCAGTTAATAATTATGTACCAAACGTTATTCAAAGAAGTTTTGGTGTGCTCGTGCTCGCCAAAACGGAATTAACATCACCTTAGACATGATTGTGTAAGCCCTGCCCTGCAACAAAAAAATCTTAAATTTATGAACCAATTATCATTACAAAAATTTTGCTCGCTCGCTACGCTCGCTCGCCAAAATAGAAATAACACCGCTTTTAATAATCACGTCCCTGACATGGAACAATGAACCCAAGTTTTATGTACCATATTTTCCCTATAAAAGAGAAGTGATTTTTGTTTTCGCTCGCTACGCTCGCTAGCTCGTGGAATTATGTGCCCACCACTAACCTGCTACAATATCATTAAAAAGAGAAATGTAGGGGGTTGCCTGCCCGCCAAAATGGGATTGACATTGCCTTAAACACGATTGTGCCCGCCCCCTACCTGCAACAATGAAACAAAGTTTATATAGCAATTCATTGAGAGAAAGATGTATTTTCGCTCGCTAGCTAAAATGGGTATAAAATCACCCTAAACACAATATTGTTCCCGCGCCCTGCATTGGACAATTGAACCAAGTTTAAGTGGCAATTCTTAAAAAAGAAGTGATTTTTTTTCTTGCTCGCTACACTCGTTTGCAAAAAAATTAAATTAACGTCGCTAACAAGTGAATGTTCCCACCCCAACTTGCAACAATACCAGTTTATATACCAAACGTTACTTAAAGATTTTGTTTTGCTCGCTCGCTCGCCAGAAGTGAAAATTAGCATCGCCTTTTTTGTTTGTTTCGGTCGCTTGCCCCCCCTGACGGAGTATCCCAGGTACGCCACTGCAGCCAATAACTATATTATTTTCAACTGTTTTAAATTAATTATGTTTAATATATTCCTTACAATATTATATATCTACTTTTAAATATTCACGATTATTGAATAAATTCACTACAAATAACGTCCACTGTTATTACCCCTGGTTTTAGCGTGACTGCTCCTATGGTACTCAAGCACTTCAATGAACTAATTCCTACTCGGTAGCCATTTACCTCACCTGGGTGGAGAGTGGCACAATAAGTTAGATTAATATCTTGCCAAAGGAGACTTGTGTCGTGACGGGGATTCGAACCCGGCACCTCGTGCTTCATGGTCAGGGGACCTAGCCTCCAAACTACGACACCTCCAAGGTGTGTTTAAGCTCTGCTTGTGTGTGAAAGCAGGTATTGCGATGACATGAATACTCCTACTTTTCAAAATGCAATAGCAATTACAAAAAAAATGATCAGGATAATGATATTAATGATAGCAATAATGATAATGATAATAACAATAATAATGGTAATAATAATAATCATAATGATAATAACAGTAAAGAATTCATAATTGTTCTAAAGATAGTAATGATAATAATAATAACATTGTTATGATAATATGATACCAGCGATAACAATAATATAAATAATACAATTATCATTATATTAACTATAATAACATTACAAAAAATTACAGCATTAAGATTTAGAAGAAGTCTTCATGCTTTAAAACTTCAGTCTATCCAGCTATGCCAAGAACTTCATATCTCATGGCCTGGTGCCCATGCCACGTGAGTGGGTGTATTCTGACGTATCGAGCAGTGATTGGTCGAGGGAATAGTATAGTCTCGGGAGTGTATTCATTGTAGTTTGCTGCGTAGACCTGAAAATCACGAGGAGAAAGTCAACATTTTAAGGTAATTGCATGCATTTTCCGGTTCAATTATGTCTCACAGCATAAGCTGAATTGCGAATGCGTACTCACAAACTAAAATATTTTTTGAAAAAAGTACATGTATTACTATCAAATAGACATGATAGAATTGGGGAAAAACGATGTCTACTAAAAATATGTAAGCTGGGAATGAGTATAGATATGATTACATAAAAAAAACACGTTCAACGGCATGGGGGCACAATTTCTCCATGAGGATGGACGACCTCTCTCGCTAGAATATTAACTTTGTAGGGATCCGGTAATTTTTTCTCAGATTCTGAAACAAAATCCTGGATTTAGCTCATGCTGCAATGAAAATTATAAACCCTTAGGTCAGTCAAGAACCACATGACTTTTACAAGCCGATCGCCTGTCTGATTATCAAGATATTTATGATTCGAAATCGAAACCAAGTTTTGCGTTTTCCTAACGGTTTTCATAACACTACAGTCTATTTCGAAAAACCAGTGTGGTAATACAGGTCACTCAAAGTTTTTTACTTCTTTGAGGCACTTGTTGATCATCTTGAAGCGCAATTTTTCTTAGGTCTTCAATATTAAACCATATCACAAATACTGATAACACGTAGGGCCATGCATCTCAGATTTAACATACGGTTTCCGAAGTTGTGTCTGACTGAAATAGTAACTTACTTTTTGTTCACCACATTGTGGTTCCAAAGCATAAGTCCATGTCACGTCATCCAGCGAATAGGACACCTTGACAGACGTAACCCATTGTGTCAGGTTGTATCTGCCTTGTACGATAAGACCAGTGACGGTAGAGGTCTTTCCAAGATCTATCTGACTCGTCAGTCCATTAATAGGAGTAAGAATTATCAACCAGTAACTAATAAATAAACTGATAATGAATATATATATATATATAAGGAAATAAATTTGACAAATACAAACAAATAATACCTAAAGTCCTTTGGAAGCGCATAGAGACGTTGATATGCGAATTACTACAACGACATATTATAAATTGTTATTATTATTATAATACACAATTTTGAATAACGAAACATCGAGAATAATGGTGCTTAAATTAGCTCTATCAAAGTTTCTTACTGCTGCCCTCCCTTTTTGATTGGGTTAGAACGCCATGCCATAACTACTAGACCGCGGAGACGGGTCAGTAGTTTGGCGAAACAAGATCAGTTGACTGACCGTTTGAAAAAAAGAAGTATATCTTTGTCGGCGGGAGGGGACAGGTGAGTTTTTAATAACGACAAGCCCTGTGCCTTAGTTGGATCCTAGCTTTGAGCATAAATACATGCATATATATATATAAATATATATACTTAGATTTGGTCTATTCCTCCGTACAGTGCTCAATGCTCAGTTGCCTGATGATCGCTCACAAGGCGTGAAACTCGGAGTTGCAACCATGTTCCATTAGTCTGCCTTATCCAATATATATATATATATATATATATATATATATATATATGTGTGTGTGTGTGTGTGTGTGCGTGTGTGCGTGGGTGTGTTTTGTGTGTGGGGTATGTGTGTAAGATGACGACGATGAAAAGTAATGAAGAAGACAGGTTGTATGCTTTAAATCTAATAGTTTTCATTAGGTCAAACATTTGTAGACGTTCCCTAAATAAACATCTTTATTAAGTGCTCAAGACAAACATAAGAATATGCATTCTTACTCTCCAGGGCAATGCGAAACCAGTTTATAAGTAAGTAAATGATACCAATGGAAACACCTCATAGCTCAAATACATATATTTGCAAAAAGTCTGAACACGTCACAAATACTTATGGTTACAAATACTTGCTTTCAAAGCAGTAGGGGGAGGGGTGTAAATCACTAATGATCATATACCATCTTAGAGTTAGGGTGACGGGGAAAGGCTCCCTGGGTGAGGGTTTCATTTGGACTTTACGTTATGGCTAATATTATAGTGCTAGGTCTGCCGTTGAAGTTAAAAATTCGGTAAGTGAAGACCTTCAGGGAGAGCGGCATCAATTTTGACGTGGCTTTCCTTGGTAAACAAAATCGTCATTATAATTAGTGTTATCGGACTCACCTTGACCCATTTATCTTTGTCATTATTCCTGGCAATCCATGCTGCCTTTTCGTCAACCGACACTCCACCGTTCAATCTTCCATCTGATGCAGTGTATCCATGACTATGCCTCGATGAGGAGGTGAGACTAGAGTCTGGGATTCGTCCATCTTCCACTCCCATTCCTTCCCCTCGGATGGGACGTGAACAGCTGACCTCTTCCTGGTTCATCGCAGCTGAAACCAATAAACGTAAAATTAAACTATATCAGTGTATAAACAAGACCCATTATACCCCCTTCACATACACCGATTTTTCTTACAAGTCTTTACGGATCGCACAAATACACGGATCTTTCACGGATCCTTATGATTTGGCCACTTTTACGATCGATTTAAGAGTTGTTTCGAGTTATTACGGGCTATTTACGGATTATTACTGATTATTACAAGTTATTACGAGTCCTTAGGATTTTTAACCAAAAAATAACAACTGAAAATGAAGTGTTCGAATTTGCAGCATTAATACCTTTCCCCAAATCGTAAACAGTTTGTAAGAATAGGAAAGGTATACTTGTCTATTCGTAAAGTACTCGTAACTACTCGTAACATGTTCGTAATAACCCGTAACAATCCGTAAAGCCATCGTAAATTTACCGTAACGAATCGTTTACAAAAATTATTACGAGTCAATTACGGATTCTTGCGAGCAGTTTACAGATGGTTAAGTATTGTTACGAGCTATTTACGGGAAAATCCATCCGAGATATTTACGGATCCTTGCGATTGACTACGAGTTGGCGATCCGTAAGGACTCGTAATGGGGCTTTCACATATATACTCCGGGGTCCGTACGGCGAGTAAAAACAGACAATTTGGGAATTTTCGGCCGGTGTCCGGCCGGTTGCCGTAAAGTTCCTACGGGTACCGGGACATTTTTTTAAGCCGTACGGGCGCCGTGGTGCTGAGTTGGCTGCTCCCAATTCTCCTCACGTTTTTATCTGACCGTTAGGCCGTAGAAAGGCCGTAAAGGGCCCGTAGGGCACCTTACGAGTCCCATGCGGGCTCCGGACGGTGCCCGGAGGGTGCCCGGACCGGACCTTCACGATTTTGGAGGTCAATTCTCATGAATTTTTTTTACGGGCTCCTTGCGGTGCTCAAGGGTTCCGTACGTGTACCCTACGGCTCCCTCACGGGCCCCTAAAGAGCCCGGGGGATATGCACAACAACAGGCGTCTGCCGTCCGGGGGCCAAATGACTATTGAGCCAAATGAGCACCCTGCCGGCACCCTTACGGGCGCCTTGCATTTCACTCGACCAATGAAAATCGGACGGTTCAAGTACGGTATCTAAATCCAAGGCAAGCCCCCGGGTAGGGAAAATCGTACGGGGCCCGGTTTATGTGAAAGGAGGGGCTTTTTTTTTACATGTCAAAAATCTTCTTACGATTGTCCACGGATTGATTTTTCCGTAAACAATCAGGGGCGTCTCCAAAGGGGATGTGGGGTGCGACACCCCCCCCCCCCCACCCCACCTGTCAAGGTATTGTCGGTAAAAAAAAATATATAAAAAAGAGGGAAAAAGAAAGAAAAGAAAAAAAGTAAAAGAAAGGAAATAAAGGAAAAGAAAGGGAAGAAAGGTGAAGAGAAGAAAGAAAGAGAGAGAGGAGAGGAAAGAAAGGAAAAGAAAGAAAAGGAAAACAGGGGGAAAAAGAAGTAAAAATGAGAAAAGGATACAAAAGAAACGGGGGATGAAAGAGAGGAGAGAGAGGGGGTTGTTGGGTGGAGTTGTCTCGTCGAGGGAGCAAGAAAGACACACATAAATATGTTGCTGTGTCGGGTCAGCTGTGTCGGTATTCTTGCTCGATCCTCGTGTACTATATCAATGCAGAAGTTTGAAGTCGGTGAGATGTATAATGTCGGTCGGCTGACAAGTTTTTTTTCACTACAAACTGTGACTTTTTATCCGCTGTGACGACAAAGAGAGTGACTACAACTATGATATTTGTATTTTCTCGAAGTTTCATTTTTTTTTATAATATCAGCTAAAGAAATCAGAGGTTTAAAATTTTCGGGGAAACTAAATTCAAACAAGGATTAAGAGTCAAGAATGTTATAAGCAAACGTCTTTTTTTCTCTAATATTTTATTGAAACGCCAAAGCTGCTGCGCTTCGCGCAGGAGGGGGAAAACTGAATTCAGATAAAGATTAAGAGTCGAGAACGGTACAACGAATCGTCTGCTTTCTCTCATAATTTAGGGAAACGTCAAAGCTTCCGCGCTTTGCGCGGGAGGGGGGGGGGACTTCATTCAGACAGAGATTAACAGTCGAGGACGGTACAACGAATCGTCTTCTTTCTCTAATAATTTAATGAAACGTCTAAGCTTCCGCGCTTCGCGAGGGAGGGGGAAAACTGATATAGCAATTAGGGTTCAGAGCCGCGAACGTTACAAGGAATCGCCTTTTTCTATGATAATACAATAAAACGTTAAAGCTTCCGCACTTCGCGCGGGAGGGGGAAAACTTCATTCAGACAAGGATTAAGAGTCGAGAACGGTACAACGAATCGTCTACTTTCTCTGATAATTCAAGGAAACGTCATAGCTTCTGCGTTTTGCGCGGAAAGGAGAAACTGGGAGATCATTCGGTCACTGGGCGGCGAATTCAAAAACCGTCGGCAGCTTTTGACCTTGCAGCTTCGATTGTTGACCTATATCGCTCGACGGCGAACGCTCGACTAGGTCGGTGCCCGGACGGCGACCGCCCGGGCATCGAGCGTATTTTGGTGCCCCGCCGATCATCGGCCGGCCGCCAGGCAATTTCTTTAAAATCAGCCGGTGGGAGACCGCTCGGGAATCGGTGGGTCATCAGTCACTGCCGGGACGCCGCCCGGAGAAGCTCCTCGTTTTCGCACATTTGTTTTACCTGAAATCGACCGGCGATTGACAGGGCACCGCCCAGGTATCACTGGGGCTGTACAGCCTGATCGACTTCTCCAAAAAAAATTGGGCGATGCCTCAATTCCAGCGGTGACCGAGACTACAAATCGGTCGGTCGCCGCTCTGAGTTGTGACCATAGCTTAAGCAGAATATCGTTACGTAAATTAAATTTGCATCTTTTTACCCTGCGACTTACAGTAAAATGGCTCTTCTTTAAGAATTACTCATTTAATAAAACCCAATACTTCAGTGATATCAGAAAAAATATTGTTGTATATTTTATTAATAATTAAACACTGTGAAAGTGTAGCATTTTACGATACAAGACGTCGATTTAGCGATAATGGCGTCATTATAACCTGTTTATTTTCGCGTGCATCCGGGACTTCAGACGCTGAAGGTTATTTTTCAAGCTCTTATGTTTCCTTTAATACGATAAAAAATATTGATTCAATCAAAACATGTTTGATACCGAAACTGTCTGACCAAAATGGAACGAGTGAGAGCTTGCGAGAGCGTCCGAATTGTGATTGAAACTAGCCATTTTGCTCTTTTTCAATGCAAAAAGAGCCGACATTGTGCTAGATTTGTATGTTTTTCCGACAAAAGCACAAAGATATTGCATATTATTTTTTTTATTTTGTACTTTTTGAAAGGTCAACCAAGTGCCTCCCGGGCACCCCAATGCTAGAAAGAAACAAAAAAAATACTTATTAGCTTTATGCATGTAGTCAGATAGAGCGGATGATGCAACGTTTCCATATGACAGGTCGTAAAATGCCCGTAAGTTGCACATAGTTATCCGTGACAACTCGTAACAAGTCGTGGAAAAAAGAATCCGTAATAAATCGTTAATTGCTCGTAATAACTCGTAACAACTCTTAAATCGGTCGTAAAGGTGGCCAAATCGTAAGGATCCTTGAAAGATCCGTGACTTTGTGCGATCCGTAAGGACTCGAAAGAAAAATCCGTGTATGTGAAGGGGGTATTGGTGAGTTGTTTTTCTCTATCGAATCCTCGATTTTCGCATCTCCAGCCGATTGTTAAAACCGTTCGATTACAACACCTATATACAGCTACTAAATGTTTGGACTGGTGAATAAGCCACCGAAATAAAGATCGCAGGGTCCGCAGTTCAATTCCAAGCCCGACACAAGTGTCATGTAGCAAAATATTAATATATACATCCCTAGGGAGGTGTTTCACAAAGACTTAGATCGACTCTAAGTTGGACTTAAATATGGCACGGCATTCATGCCACTGGTTGCTTTTACCATTATGATCTTTAGAAAATAATTTTCCCTCCAATAATGCACTATCACAAAAAGTTAATTCTGTAAATTTATGACCATGATGTGGACGTCCCTTGAGAGACCAATGCCCGTTAATGGTGAGAAAAAAATAGTGGCATGAACGGCCTGCCATATGATGTCCAACTTAAAGTCGATCTTAGCCTTTGTGAAACACTCCCCTGGTGTGAATGGGTGCCTGATACGTTTCAGCACTAGTTACTTTGGCAGCTCAGCTATAACCGGGGCAATAATGTCTAGCACCGTGATCGTCACAGCGTGACGTGACAGATAGGAGGGCTTTTAAGAAAGTGACATGTCCTTGTCTAAGTGTCCCAAACATGTGGATCAACATGTGCATCGCTTTATAACTGCAAGGAAAAGCGATTCATCAAATACCTTTTTGTATTGGCTAGAGTAAAGTCATATTATTCCAATCCTTCTCTTCCTTCTTGTTTAAAAAAAATATATATATACCCACCTACTAAGTCATTAAGAGGTCCGTAGCCAGTGAGCTCTAGTCTGAGGGCCAGCAAGGAAGTCAATGGGGGCTGGTATTTCTCATAGGCTGTCTTGGGATAGATACGGAAGAATCTGCATTCGACCGGCGTAAACATGGTGTGCACCACAAAACTATTTTGGTCGTAGTTTCCTGTGTAGACCTGAACAATATCATACAACCTTATTCAAAATGAGATTAAGTTCGGTTTGAAATGTTGAATTTCCAATATCATATAATTAACTCAATGACCAGGCACTTAGATGATACTTTTTTTTCGTTTCTTTGCTATTGTTCATTTGCAATATCTCAGTGAATAAACAATTCGTCCAAAATGGCACGTCTGACAAATGAGCGACCTTGCAGAGAGGCAAGGAAAGCAAAACTAAGTGTTAATACCTTGACTGTGTTGGTGTTGATATCCTGGTAGTTAGTCCAAGATACTCCGTCCATACTAGATGAAACTGTGTACGATGTCACCCAACAAATAATATTCCAGCCTTGCGTTATGATGGCGGTGATGAAAAAGGTGGAATTGAATTTGATCTGAAGCCAGGGGTCTTCGTCATCTACAGCGGGGATCCAAGCAGAAGGACTGTTAAGACGTGCTCTTTGTTTGATATGAGAAGGTCCCAGCTCACTCGAGACTGTAATAGCGCTGTCGGGAACCTTACCGCTTTCTAGACCGACTGGACTACCTCGAGGTGTGCTGCACGGGTTCACTTTTGAGAAAGAATCACCGAATTACAATTTTAGGTCTTTAAAATTCAGGTACTGTATATAAATAGACCACTCAACTATAACCTAACTAGTTGGGTTAAATCAGTATTCGGTCCTATAGCTTTGACAAATTGAAGCCTTAAACAATTGTCTAGGTTTTAGGCATTCAGAATCCCTGTAAATTCTATTACGAACCCAAATGAAACAGTGTATGCAGAATACCAAGGATGTTTGAGATGGAGAGCTTCAACTACCGATAATTAATGCAAACGCGAGGCAAATCATAAAGGATGTAAAATTACATGAATAAAGTGTCTTGATTCTTCGATGTCTGATGCTGATCCTTTCAAAGTAAACAAGAGAGTTGTAGATTTTTTATTTTACATTAGAGATTATAGAATTTAAACGAGGCTTATGATGCAAAGTTGCTTTCCTAAGTTAACGAACTCAGAAAGATAATGTGTGCAGCTGTAGTGATAATAGTACCTAGTTCATTTAGAATTACGATAGCTTCAACATAGATAATTCTTCATAAATAGCTTTAGCGGTTTCCCTAAAAAAAATTAAGAACAATTTCAACACCTTTAATAATTAAACATTTCAATCAGAAATTTTAAATTTCATATATCATTATCGTGAAGTATGTCTCCATAAGAGAAAACCCAACCAAATTAATTTTGCACACGTGGGCAGTCATTGTCATCGCGATTCTTGTATTGCTGGCACTAAATTTGTTCACTCTAACTTTAGTTTACCATTAATTTGCAGTTTACCCAGTTACATGTTGGTCTGAGAAAACTATTTTCATTAGAATATGTATTGTACATATCCCAAAGTGCACTAAAAAAATATCGCGGCATCGGACATACTTCAAAGACAAGCTGTTTGTTGTGACTCCATCTATTTTAAGTCTCCTTGTCAATATACATTTCCATTTTTTTAAACACTCACATGTACAGCAAACAACCGCTACACTCGCCTCCCTACGGTTTATCGCCGCCATCTCCTCGTACCAGCAGTTAGTAATGTTAGTCACGTTGGCAGGACATATCACAGTCACACTCTCAGAGTGATTATCTAAGGACGACATCTCGAAGAGATCTCCTCCTACTGTTGCATATACGTCTTTTAACAGATGATCAGAAATAAAATGAAAATAACAGATCAATTGGAACATAGTAAGTATTCACATAAGTGACTCTAATCATGACTACTAGTAAGCTTAATGTTCTCTGCTATCGTTCTATCTAAGTATCTTCTCCCGGTTCGGAGTCTGATTGCAACATCTCTCCATTTCACTCTATCTTCTGCTATTTTGGTGCACTCTTGCATTTTTAGTCCACTCCAGTTCTTGACATTCTCTTCCCAGTTGATTCTGGGTCTCTCGCTCGGTCTAGTTCCTTCCACTCTTCCCTCTAACACATCCTTTAAGAGACTTTGGTGCCTTTGTAACATGACCAAAGTCCTTGAATCTTCTCTCCTTAACTCTCTGCTGCATTTGTCTTAAATCCTAAAAGATAATTATGTACGTGTTTTGGTCATGAGATTACATTGATAACAAAACTGTTTGGGAGCAGTCACGATTATCTAGGTACACAGGAATTGATGTACACTCAGACTTTATTGGTCCGGAAAATTAGGTTGTGTACCCGGACAGTTGATTAAAAATGCAACGTGAACAAGTTTTACATAAATTCTCTAAGAATTTGTTGGGCAATATGATAAAGGAAAAATATTCATGATGGTTAGTGCTATTTGATAAACACTATTCGTTAAATCAGAAAGCGAAGGTGAAGACTTTAAGTTTGTTAAGTGTCTGAACACCCGCCACGCAGCCCCCTTGTACCCCCTCCAAGCAAAATTATAGAAGTATTACATAAGGGGTTAGTCCAAACTTTTCAACAATTCATATTTTAAATAGGAGGGTATGTGAAAGAACAATCCATTCCAGAGGACATTTCTATCACGAAGTTCATCTAAACTGCCATTAAAAAACAATCATAGAGCTCACAAATTATGTTATACCTTTACACAATTCCATCCTTCTCTATCACTAGCAGTCGACAAAATTCAATGATATATTTGTGTAAACGTACCCTTTTTTATTTGAAAGATCTTGCTTTCTCAGACCCCTCTTCCAAATACAATTGATACCTAACAAATGAAAGCCTATTAAAATTAAATATCCTCTAGTACAATGGACTGCATGGATTATTTTCGATGGTGAACTTATGAAAACCAATAGTAAATACCTCGGTCACACCACCAAACCTCCAATCGTCTCAAAAACTAACTAATCGTGTCCGTTCGGGGGGGGGGGGTAATGTAACATTTTATTTTGTCGGTTGTCGGTCATGGAACACAATACAGGACTGTAAACTTGATAAAGCATTTACCTTCATATCCTAGATACTTGCACACTAACCGGGAAGCGTTCCTGGACCAGTTTACTTGATGGACTAACATGTAGGTTGTAGGGCGAGAACGAGATGTGATAACTATTCCTCCTTCGCTTTCACTTCCACCGACTAGTCTCAAAGAATAGATGAAGTTCCTGTCAGCCAATCCTTAAGTTTGAAGAAAAAGAAAACAATACGTGTCCAAACATGTATTAGCACCTAGCAAAGATCAATCCCTCGACCATTCATATGCACTCGCGTAGCTAGATTGTCATATTAGGGACTTTTCGATTTGCACGTCGACATAGTAGACTGCTACGTGTGACGTCCTTAAAAGGACATCCCCCCTCCCCCCCCCCCCCCCCCCCCCCCCACCCCCCTTTCCATCGTGAAGCGCGGAAGTTTTGACGTTTCATTAAATTATTAGACAAAACATACGATTCATTGTAACGTTCTCGAGTCTCAATCCTTGTCTAAATTTTCAAAAATGTTTCTCTGGGGGGGGTCTGGCGTGTTTTATGTGGGGGGCGACCGAGCCCCACTACCCTCCTCCCCCTGGCCAGGTGCCTGTTCCTATGAGAGTTGATTTTTTTTTTTTTTAAAGAGCCTTCACCAATATACCAAGTATCCCACGTACCACAGTGCTTCACCAAATAATTATGTTACTGTAGTTATGAAAACATTGATATTTATATAATTCAGATGTTGTTGTTATAGAGTGAGACCCCCCCCCCCCTCTCTCTCTCTCTCTCTCTCTCTCTCTCTCACTATCAAATTTTGGCTCTCTGTCCGTCTCTACCTTTCTCTTAGTCTCTGTGTCACTCATTCTGTGTTTGTGTGTGTGTGTCTCTCTCTCTCTCTGCTTATGTCTCAGTCTGTTTTCTGTCTCTGTATCTCTTGCTCTCTCTTTCTTCTGTAAATAATTTCCTCCTCTTACCGTACTTGCATCTGTCTCCATAGTAGCTACCCGGGCAGGCGCAGCTAAACCCCTTATCTGTTTCCTTACAGGTTCCTCCTGGTTCACAGGGGTTCGATAAACACGCTGAAATGACACCACACAATGTGCATGTAACGATTTAGTAACCGGAAGCCATAAATTGACAATTTATAAAGAATATAAGAAAGAAAAACAGGAAAATGCAAAAAGCATTGATTTGTACATTTTAAATCTTCACTCTTCTTAAAAAGGCAATTTCATAAGATCTTCGTGTATTCGGAATTAATTCATAGCATTACAAAACATCTACATCTACACATCACAACAACTTATTCTTTAACAATTCATTCCACATTTCGGTTACTAAGATGTGCATGGGCATCCAGACATTGCCCTGAAGAGGGGCAACCAATGTATTTTCTTTTCAAAGAATGAGTAGAATTTCTAGCGTTTCAAAGAGCAACCTTTCAATTATTGACTTACCGGACTATCCTCTAGAAGGAGTAACATTCCTCAAAATCATCTAACTCTAAAGTAGGATTATCGTTTGTTAAAAAGTATTTTGGAAAAAATAATAATAATAATAATAATAATATCGAGAATTAGAATTCGCAACTGAAGAGAATTGGGGTGGGCTGTATTTTTTTAAGGATCTCATATGGGGAGATGAAGATATATATATATATATATATATATATGACAGTAAATAGATAGAAGGAGAGATGGAGACGGGGTATGTTCATGTAAAGAAATATATATGAGCTGGAAAGAAAGATAAAAGAGGAATCAGAATGCAGGCACTTGAGGGAGGCAGGAATGTAAGGAAACATCGTAGGGGTGAAATAAGAATACATGGGGCAAAGGGTGGAGCTAGAGAAAATTAAGGAACATCCGAAGACATACGAGAGCCAGATGCGGGAAAGGGAGAGGGTGAGAGAGTAAACAGAAAGACAGAGACAGAGGGAGACAGAGCAAGATAAAATGCTCAAAATTGCCTGAAACGTGTGCAAAATGAATTTTAGATGATTTTGAAATTACCCGTAGGTGTGCGTTCATTGACCTGAAATTGACCGGACGGATAATGATCATGAGAATTATGAATGAGAAACGATTTTCCGTTATGAAGATATGATCATGAGTTGAAAATTTCAGAAAATGGTGTGTGGATGACGTCTGGATGATCTGATGACCTTACAAAATTTTCTATCACGTTTTATGACAATGACCTGTGACTGTATAAAAATTGAAAGTAATTCACTGTACGGATCTTGAGTTATCTTCTACACACAAAAGTGTGTGGGGGAGGGGATAAATAAAATGAATACTAAAGAAGAAAAAAATTCTGACGAAATTAAGAGGTAATCTGCCGTAGAAGACAAACCACCTAAATGATGAATGAAGAAAAAAACGAAATTCTGACCAATTTAAGAGGTGATCTGTCCAAACGACAGCCCACCTAAACAGCGGCAGAAAGGTGCATAACCCAGTGGCGTTTCCAGGAGGTTCGGCCAGAAACGATGGAGATACGGCCACAGAAAGAAAGCCAATTCCCAGAACTTTAGAGGGCGCTATTTATTTTTTGCATAGCCATTGGAGCGGAAAATTTGCATGGCTGCGTGCCATTATGAGATAAAGATACTGTGAGATTTATTTTTAAAAACGGAATTTATATGAGGAAGTTATGGCAGTTTTAGATTTGTAGGGGTCAATTTTTCCAAGAATTTTAGAGATTTTTGACGGAGTCGGTTTCAGATTTGAATTTTGTCGCAGATAAAAGAACATCTCTTAGACTATCAAGAGGAATTCGGGAGATTGCGGGTCATTCCAGAAGGCTTGGGAGACGTTATTGAATATAGAGGGCCGGTCGCACGGCATAAAATCTCGAGCGGCGGATTCGTAGTTAAACGTTAAAAAAGCCCCTGCGCAACAAAGGTCATCATGGACGGGGCGGTGATCCTTGGCCCGAATGGGGGACACGGCCCCCTGAAAATTTAGAAATATGGCTAGAAGGAAATATAACGGAAAGAACGTACATATTGGCTTTGGCGTTTTCTAGAATGCATAATTTCAGCATTCAAAATGGCAGAATTTCGCTTAATTAGTCGCCATGCTCCCTCGCCCCAAAACACAAAATTAAGATACTCTTGCAACCCGTGTACAGAATTGCTTAATTGTTTCAGTAAAAGCAAATACAAGCGATCGCTGAAAAGGATTTGGTTTAAGATCTAGTATACGTCTGCTACATGTCATCAGGGACAGTTTTCAGCCGAGCAAATTTGTACTGCATTATTTACTATATACTCCATTGATAGTTACGTTAAAGTCTATGTTGATGCTTCATTTGAAGTGCAGGAAGGCCTTTCAAAACATAGGAAACTGTCATTTCTAGAGCGCTCCTGTTGATTTTCCTTTTATTTCTCATGTTGATCAAATGCTAGAATTTATAGCACGTATATAATTTATTTGTTATTGCTGTTATTGCATACAATAGTTGGTGTTATACATGTAGTTGGATACACGAATAGAATTGACTTTATTAGCAGTATTGTTTGTATTCTTGATCTTAGGAATTTGTTAATGATTCCATACTTAATCGCTCTTGCTGATTAGGATTAACTAATTTTGTTGCGATAGATAGAATGTGTTAACGTGCATAAGTCTGCACAAGTTAATGAACTATTTGTTTCATTTATTATACTTCATGTTAATGATTCTGTTATGTTTAGATAGAATTAGAATAGCATGTTATTGTAGAAAAAATGTGAAAGTATAATAGTACCAAT